ACCTCTCCTTGATATGCCACCCTTATCCCAAAAGACACCTCTCCTTGATATGCCACCCTTATTTCTTCTTCAAAATCTTTGAACTAGTTCGGATGAAGGACCGCAGTCACAACCATCTTATCGAATCCTCATTCATAGTTTTATCCATAAAAACCTTTCAAACTCAAGAACAATCTTATTTTTTAAAGATTTCCAAAACATCACTGTTTCTTTTAAATCCTCAAAACAGGATATCATTTCCAAAACTGTTTTAAAGAAGCAATCTCTTCTTTATCTTTCCCAAAATAACAATAACACCTTAAAACTATCAAAATAGTTTTAACATCATTTCTTCAAAACCAACATCAAAACTCATAGCATATAATCAACAATAGTTATAAAACTCACAGTTTATAACCAACAGTAGTTTAAAAACTCACTTAGATCCTCAAAGACAGAATCATAAACCAAACTGTTTAAAACATTAATCTGCATCCTTTTTACCTAGAAACAGATTCGAAATAGTAACAGCTTATCTGCTGTTCAAAACAGTATAGCATCTTCGAAATCCATATTCAACAGTTAAGCCACAAATACATAAAGAAATCAGTTTCAAAGCTACTCACCTTATCAAACAGATTTCTTGATGATGATCACACAACAAAAGCTTTATTTTTAACACAGAATCTTCAAAACACCTTAACTCACACACACATGTTCTTTTCTAAAAGAATGACAGTGATAAGGATATCCTTATCCAAACTCTTCTTTAAACATCCTCACATAGGCGGTGGAGGATTTTAATAATACAAAACTCATAGGCGGTGTAGCTTTGCCCAATAGAAATAGTCTTTGGGCGGTGGATTTTGCATTATAAAATTCATGGTTTCTTAACCATGAAGATATAAGCTTTTAAATAATAAAATAATGTCCACCCAAATAATTTATCACAAATATGCACCACTTTATGTATGCTTCACACCACATGCATACATGCATAAATCATATATGTCATGACATCCTTTCACATATATGCATACACAATATCATGTTCGCATATATATAGTTCATGTATGCATATTTCACGTAATCCACATAGTAAGCATGTATAATTTACCTCAACCCAGGCTATGTGAAACCCGGTTATAACAATGTATCGAGGAAATGAAAGTGAGATACATAAAGGGTGATAACACAAAACATATTCCGCTTAAGTTTTTATACAATCAACAATAATATACTCTTCTCAAGATTCAAATGAATCAAATTAGATGCAAGGAGAACTTAACATATTTGTTTACCGAACCATCACCTAAAATCATATATGGGAATCATGTAGAAAGTATTAAAATGCAAACTTCCTTGATTAATGCACGAATTAGGGGGGTAGTAGACAAAAGAGGGAGTCTGCTATATATTTAATATTGATATTTTGTGCTCTTTCCTTCACCCAATGCTTTATTTTTCCCATTGGTTTTGTTCCTTTGTGTAAGATTTTAGTGACAACGATTTATATACCATACTCTTTTCCTAACTCTCATGATTGATGTACGGATATGGGAGAACATTAGAATAAAGGAAAAGTCTATGTATTACAAAGAAACTGGTTCACTATACTCTTTTCTTCATCCTATTTTTATTTTTCCGATTGGGTTTTAATTTGGTTTAAAGTTTAACGAGACAACAATTGTGCATCATCACTCCTTTGACTCGGCATAAGTGAGAGTGTTGTAGGATAAGTGTGTCATCATCTAAAGAATATGATAATTAGAGTTAGATTAGAACTGAATATCTCATATTTATATACTTGTAACTCATCCTTATACAAAAGACTTATGATTAATAAGAATTACATACCCTCTCTTTTTATTGTTGTTCTATTTCGTTTTTCCTATAATAATATGTTATAATTTTGTTGATTATTTTCTAGTAAACTAAATATAAAGATAATTATTTAACGATTATTTTATAAAATTAAAAAAAAATTAAAATAAAATATTTTCTAAAAAATTTAGACTTTATATAAAGAAATTCACTTCAATACTATTATAGTAAATGACAATCTTAGAATATTGGATACAACTACCATAACATATATAAAAAAATATGTTTATAATTTCGTCGTAATGATACCATGAAATTGTTGACCTGTAGTTGGTCAACGTACTCGTTGGTTAACGGTATTTATAAATCAAAATGAAATCCAAGATTCCCAAGGGATTTTGTATCCGTCAACTAAATATTTTAGTAAGTCAATAGACAATAAGAGCTGACTTTCCACAGGAACCGGTCAACGTCTTGGGGATGGCATGATACCTTTTTTTTTTTAATATTGTGTGTATGTTTGAATAAAAATAAACAAGTATATCGAATATAGATAAACATTTGTATTTGAAGTTGTCGTTAGGGATGTTTAAAAACTCGACCAACCCGATCAACTTAATCCAACCCAACACGAAGTAACTCAACTCGAAGTAACTCCATGTCTAATCAAGTTGCAAAATTGTCAAACCGTAGGTATTGAGTTATTATTATTTGAACCCAACTCAACCCGATGAATCCGATATCCTTTTATTTCTTGGATTTATTATGATTGTTGAATTTCTATTAATATGTACATTAGACAATTACACTATCATATATGTTTTTCATATACACATATTTTCAATTTATTCACATTTTTATATAATTCATTCGTATATATGTTTAGTAACCGTGAACATATGTAAATTAAGAAAATTAACTAAATGTGATATACGTAAAAAATATAGATAAGTTGTATCAAGTGGTTGATGATGAAAAAGAAATTATGGGTAAAGAAATAACATATTATAGGTTAGAAGAATATTTTAATGTAGTAAAGTATCAACCCGACCAACTCGTACGAGTTGGATTGGGTTGGGTTGCACTTTGGTTCGGGTTAGGTTGAGTTAAGATTTTTCAAACCGCAAGCGTTGGGTTGAATTGTTCAAATGTCTTCAACCCAATCAACCCAACCCATGAACACCCCTAGTTATCGTAACATAAGCTTTATTGATCTCCATATCAAAAAAAAAAAAATTATCAGTTAAATTAATTAATTTTGAGTGTCCATTAATTTAAATCCCAATTTTCAATCATCAAACTATGAATTATTTTGTCTAGTTTATTAACTTACAAATTTTGTGAAGTTTTTAGTTTGTACAAATTGTATAAAAAAGAAATGTATTTTAATTTGATTTTTATTTTAAATAATATTATTTAAAATCCTATATACAGAAATGTACGCTTTTTATACAATTTTTATAATTAATCTATCTATAATTTTCTTAGTATACACATGCTTAAAACAATTGTACAAACAATTGAAGCACAAAATCTAATATTGTCAAAATCAAACCCAAAATTATTTGGAACACAACCTCTAATTGAAATCAAAATTTAATTAGAGTTTAATTAAAAATGAAGAAGATATACAATAGGTCACAGTATATTTTCATCCCCAAAACAAAGATTCTCCCATTGTCAGAGAATAACATCGACGGTTCAAGTCTCCAAGATCAGAAATACCTTTGCAGGTCCAAACACCCCTACATCGTTGTTGTTTGCTTTTGTCATCTAGGTGTGCACATGATGCACAAATTTCTAGTAATCGATGCACATTAATAGGACCATAATTGAAAAGGGACAGGCATGAGGGAGGTATAGTCGTCTTATTTTGAGCAACAAAACACCCACCCAGATGCAAGCTTAGTAGTAGATGAAGAATGCGACATAAGTTGGTTCAAATTTGGGGGAAATCAGTGTTGATGTCCATCGCCCCTTTATACCAGATTTTTTTTTTGTATATTATTCTTGTTCCATTTTGAAGACCTGTTGCAAAACAAAAACAACCCGCCAAATAACCATGTGTATATAGTATATTTTCGATTGAAAAAAATTAAGCCCTTCTAAGCAACCTAATTAAAATGGTGTTGAAGTGTCACATTTGTAAATTGTTGCAAACTTGCTTGAAGCTGCAAAAATTCACAATTAGTATAAGCAAGCAATCATCTAAAGATAGAAAATACCATTGTGACCAAAAGCTTCCTTAAAAAGCACCTTTGCCGCAAAATCTGGAAGGGGTCATAAGTACTTACTGAGCAATTTTTCTCACCGAATGAACATGATAAGGGGCAAGAATCTTACCCGGTAATATCGATTATAAGGATGGAGAGTCTTACCCGGTAAGTGAGGGTGACTACTCTTACCCGGGTAAACACTTACCAGGTAAATTGTTGCATAAATACGTTTTGATGTACTACAATTTTACCTGGTAAAATAAATTATAGTGTTGACTCCTAACGATAAGCGCTTACCGGGTAAACATTTAGGTAAACAACCCCTAAGTGTTGCCCATTCAACTAGGGTTGCTTAAATTTTTGATCAACCCGACCAATTCAACTTGAAGAAACAAAAAAGACTACAACCCGAGATAACCCGACATATAATCGATACAAATTTTAGCAAAACCGCATATATTTAGGTTGGAATGGGGTCAGACCCAAAGTAACCTGGTCCAACCCAATAACCCGAACCCAAAAATTAGATACGCTGCATACTTCAAACTTTTAGCGGCTTTTCTCATCTTTGCCCTAGCCTTCACTCCTCACTCTCTTCAGCATCGATTGAATCAAGACCCAAGAGGACGACTTCAAGCCTTCAACCATTTATTTCAATCGCAGAAGATGACTTCAGGATTCAACCATTGATGCGGGTGGTGTTCTTCTACACTTCTCTTCTTCGATTTCCAGTGGAAGAGGACAGCTTCAACCAAGAGGACAACTTCAATCGCAGAGGATGGTGTTTCACATACGACGACTTCAGCCTTCAACATCGATTCGATTGTTAAGGTAGTCTTCTTTTAAACTTCTCTTCTTCGATTTCCAGTGGAAAAGACTTTTAGGTATTCGATTTCCATTGAATCACTGATAGGGTAATTAGGGTTGAGTTTGCTCGATTGAATCACTGATTGGTTTGTTCATTTGTTTTCTGCTGCTTTGTTCATTGATAGTGTGATAGGGTTGAGTTTTATGAGACCTTGACCATTCATATAGCTTATGCACATACACGATAAATATACAATTGATGTAGCCTTCTGTAGGTTTATTCTACAACAGTCGAGAAATTAGGAACTGTTGGGCTTGATGCTGATAAAGCAATGGACATGGCTCACATAAGTGAGCAGATAGAACAAATGCCTAAATTGCTTGAAACACCAGAACAGGAGAAGACAGGAAAGAATGCCAAGTTCAACTTACCTTTTTCACTAGTGATGGTATGCTATAATTGTAGCTAATGTTGATTTTTATGGCATTAATTATTTCTTATCAGTCTTGCAAATTAGAAGCAATTCTTTGTTATACACAGGTGTTCTCGATGCAGAAGAGCTATCAACTATGATTGAAGGAGGTGAGAAGAGTGTAAAATATCAGTTACCAAGGTCCAGGAATCGAAGAGGAAGTATACAGATCAGTTGAATCAATCTCAACATTAAAGAGCGATAACTTGACACTTGAGTGTCTTGAGACTGAACTATTTGAAGACATTAGAGCTTCAATCCAGAAATCTAATAGAGCATCTAACCTGATGATTGAAGTATCAAGGTGTCCTCAGGAAAGAAAGATTCTCAAGCAAAAGTTAGCAACTGTGAGTTACCCTTTTATATTTCCATTTCCAGTTTAGTATAAAAATTTTAATCGACCAACCCGACATACACGGTTTGGGTTGGGTTGCACTTTTGGTTTGGTTGGGTTGGGTTGGGTTGAGATATTTCAAACTGCAAAGATTGGATTAAGTTGTTGAATTGCCTTCAACCCTGCCAACCCAACCCGTGAACACCCCTATATTCAACTGTATATCGTTGCGAGATTTCCCCAAGTAGTGTTTATATATGCAAACCACCATTGAATTACATTACCACATACAACAACAGAGAAAACCAATGTGTCCCATCAGAAAACCACCAAACACAATACTTAGAGGATAATATTTCTACCTGTAAACATAATGCAGAGTAACATTGAGGTCTCTACAAACCTTAGAATTGGCTCAACATTCTCCATGGTTATGATCCATGCTTCACCAAAGACAAGATTCCTTCTAAGTTGATTGCGGTAAGCCGGAAAGCAGCCAAGTGTTGATCCTAACCAAAACAAATAAACATGTAAATTTGCAACTTTTTCTTGATACTTGGAACATCAAATAAAAGAATATTTATGTGGGAGGGAAGCAGGAAATTTATCAAAATCTACCCTTACAATGTGGAAGAGTTCTTTCAGAAAACGTGAAAAAAGAAACCAAATTACTAAAATACCCAATACACTACTAAATTGTAATACAAACACATACTAAACTCACCCTTTTAGCTCCTTCCTTGTCTGCAGACTTTGTGCACTTTGTCCTTCTCAGAACATGCTTATAACATAATTAATTAATTATATTCAACCTTAAGAATGTTGTGCACATTTATCAGTGAAAGCTATAGATTATTGTTAAATACATAAGATTATGAATTATTGGAGGGAATACGATTATGAGTCACATACACAAAAATTGTTGCTAAATAGAACTTTCAAAGCAGGTAATCTCAAAACCAAAAAACATAGATGAACGATTTTGAATTCTGAAACAACCGATCAGTTGTCCTAGAGAGAATGTCAAAAAAATAAATAAATTATGCTTCCATATAGCTAATGACATACCATCATGTTATTCAACCAAAACCCAAGGAAGGATATGGAGAAATTCCTCTGAATCACAATCACCACAGCAGAAAAGAACTTCTAACAGAATTATGAAATGCATGTGAGATTATGCTTTTTTCATGGAAGTTACCATAAAATACTAATTAGTCCTGTACAACATTTAAAAGTATATGTGAAGGAGTGGAAACAACAAGTGGCTCCATCATGAAAACGTTACTAGCTTCACTTCATCTTGCAACTTCTTTTGTGAGAGAAAAATATGGTTATTCGTTGGAAATGAGAACCATATTTACAAATAGAATATTGCAAAAGGTGAAAGGTTTCATGTTTAGTAGCCAATTATGGATATTTATAGAATATATATGAAAAAGAAAGAGACTAAATATGAAAAAGCTATTTATAGAATATATAAAGATGTTACATTGTTAATTTCAAGCAAAAGAAAATTGAGATACTTACAGGAGAAAAAAGCAGGAATGCTTTACTTGTTTGTCTCAAAAGTTTTGTACTTATATCCAAAAATCTCGAGTAGCCTTCAATTATGGATGTCGGGCTAAAAAACAATCAAAGAAAAAAAGAAACATACATTTAATGGTTGTTGTTCTCTTTGGCATTTTATCGAACAAATCATTTGCATTAGACCCAAACAAAAATCTACAACAAAGGCACAACAAAGGTAGACAAAACGTGTCAGAAAATAGTAGGAGATACCTTAGGGTTTGTAAGCGATAGATGTCGTTTGACAAATGATACGAGTCATCGAAGAGATTTCGAAGCAACAATCATCTCTTTCTCGTTCCTATTCGAGGGGTTGAAACGAAAGTGTTATAAATTGGAGAATAGAGCAAAGATTCAAAATCGGTTAGTCGAAGACAAGAAAGAGCGAATTGCCATTTGAACAAAAAATTTGAATGAAGCGAATTGCCATATACGAAGGTGATTCAAATTAAAAATAGTCAACTGAACTTGTTAAATGAAAACTGACTGCGATGATTCTTCAAAATAAATGAAATCGAACAGCTCTGCCAAAAGATTAACCAAAAAAATGGCCAATTTGCAACCGAAAGCCCAATACAAATGTTCAAAGAGTCGGTCACTGAAAATAAAAGATTAACTTGCGCCTTGATGCATGTTTGTGTGGGCATGAATAAAAACGTTATTATGTGATTTAGAGTTGATGCAGGAAGCATGTTCTTGTATTAAAACCTTCTTTGAGTTGATCCCATCTCCATCTTGATAATCCTTCAGATCCTAAATCAACCAAACAAAAAAAGTAAAACCCTGAACTAAAAATCGACCTCAATGACAGATCAAGAAATCGGTGACCATGAACTTGATCGTATATGCTAAAAGTAGCATGGGACTCGAAATCAGAGAGAGATCATCGATATGACAGAATGTGAGAGAGAAAGAGAGTAAAAATTGGTGAACAACCCGGTTCAAAATTTTGAATTCCCCATTTTGGAATTGGAGAAGACCTCGAGAGAACCCAAACTTGAAAAGTCACTTCGGGAAGATGAAACCGAGCAAGTTTGAGGCTTATCTATATCTACTAGCTATGTACCCACGCAATGCGGCAAGATGTAAATGTTCTATCAGGATACATTTAACTTTTAAATATCAATTTTTTGCAAAATATCTTTGAAATACTTGGTGGTTCACATGTTGTATCGTAAATCCAAAAATGAAAAATTAATGCAATTTCTCACTTAAAAAGTCTAAAATTTATGTTTAAACAAAGTAGAAATTACAATCATACTTTAATCATACATAATCATTATTCAAAACTTCTTGATACACCACATTTGATGTGTAGACTCCTTCCTGATTGAACTTTTTGATAGATTTCAATAATACCTTTGTATTACCACGTGATATCCCTCTGGACAATGCCACGTAAAGTTGGCCGTGCGAGAATATCGATTCTGGTAGATAAACACCTACCACTGGAATTGTCTACTCTTGAGTTTTTTTGATTGTCATGGCAAAACAAAGTCGAATGGGAAATTGTTTTCTCTTCAATTTAAAGGGAAATATGTCATCTTCAGATGGACATAGAGGAATTCTTGGTAAAATTTTTCTCTTACCAGCATGATGACCAACAACTATTTTTGCATCAATAACATTCTGTTGAAAACCTCTACATATCATTCTTGTGTCGTTACACAATCCATTTGAGGCGTCGTATTCCGCAATAGTATTATCGGGCATCCAATTTTAAGTCGGAGGTAATGAAGGGGCAAATCGCTAACAGTCAGTGAGTTTAAGAATTCCATAGGATACAAGTTATTCTTATCGTCTTCTGCTTCGTAAAAGCTATAGTCAATTTTTTCCTATCTGCAGAATCTTTCAATCAAACCGATCATTAATCTCGTCGACATGCTCATTTTTAGTTGTTAGTATCGCCCTCGAAATGATATAATCTGAAGTAGTCTCGTTGGTTTGAAGAGAAGGAAAAATTGCATCAATTATAACATCCTTCAATTCAGTTTTATTGGTGTAAGGAATGACCATGTCATCAGGTATGTGAATAAAGTTTTCGTTCATTGATTCTTTATCTCCATCGTCGACATGTAACAGAAAGTCCGAAAACCATGGATTAGTAAGTGCTCTTGTATTGATCGTTAACCTCAACTTTTTAATTGAAGACCAAATAGGTGACATTCGTAGGCTAGAGTCTACGATCTGTGCTCGGGTGTCATGTCTCATTACTGCAACACTCGTCTAAAATCACCTTCCATAATCATTATTTTCCCACCAAGTGGGAGTCTCACCCTAGTGATGTCTTGCATTGTTCTACTGTTTGCCTCTTTGCCATTGATGCTTCATCCCAGATGATTATTTTTGCAGCTCGAAGTAGTTGAGCAGTTTCGTTTTGTTTTTTATATTGCACACCGAATCATTACAAAGACTAAGGGGAATCTTGGACCGAGAGTGAGCTGTTTTCCCCTGGCATGTTATTAGCGGCAACCACCAATGAAGTGGTTACGAGTGTAATAAGTCAATTGGAACGAACATTAGCTAGCAAAACTTTGTATAAAAATGTTTTTCCAATTCCACCTCGTCCATCTATAAAAAACACACATTGACAATCATTATCTACATGCCTCATTGTCTCATCAAATGCATGTTTCTGGTCAGAATTTAGAGAGTTTCGGGCATTTAAGTCTTCGTCTTGTACAATTATGGAGTACTCCTCTTGTACCTCACGAGATCCTTGTGATTCTAAATTGGTAGCTACATTTAAGTTTGGAAGATCAAAATCATCGAGATTTTTACCCATAGATTGTAAAAAGACTGTGATATCTACATTAAGTTGGGAAACATCATCGAGGTTTCACCATTAAAATGTATTCATAACCTTTTGTTATATCTATATTAACTTAGGAAACATCAACATTTGCATTTTTTTTTATCGACAATCTTCATTGCACATCTTAAAACTACATAGAAAAAATAAATATTGTTGCACATTACTTATACACACAACTCATTTACAAAAATTCACTGAATTGTGACATAAGTGTTCAAAATATCATTACAACCAATATAAAATAACATAAAAGTTACACATATATGTTTCAAATGTCTTCACAACAATCACAAAAAACACTTAAGCTCTAACCAACTTGGTCACATATTTTTAACTCAGCACAAGTCTTATGTTGTGTGCTTCCTGCATATTTGGATTGATCACAATCTTGGTTAAAGCCGTAGAACTCAAAAAATTCATTGAAAATATGAGAAAAAACAATTCTAGTAAAATTTAATATAATATTTAAACTAGAAGAAAAACATAAAATATTAAATAATATGTAATATACTTGCATTTAGATGGATAAGTTTAACTCAAGATGCATAAATATGAAATTATTTTTTATGGCCCGAGCAATTTGCACAATACGTGTTTGTTAAGTATTATACAACCTCATCTTTATTATATGTCTCGTACTAAAAAATATCAAACTTAGTAAGAAATACAATTCGAACAATTTGTTAATTTGGTAAAGATTTAATTTTTATACAAAATGCAAACTGACGTTCCATTTTATAAAAATAAATCACACGAACCCAACCGAAATACATGATCATCCCGCACATATTTAACTCATCCTTCCATTACGATTTCCCAACAACAAATAAAACGAAGATATTTAAATTTAAATATTAAATATTGATTTGATATGAGAAATATATTAATATAAATGTTATAGAAAATTTTAATCTATTGATCATCATCTTTTGTGTAGTCCTATCTTTAGTAAGAGTGTTTATGGAAGGCACCAATGGGTAAAATA